CCTGGAGTAACTGCTGGCACACTTGGTCACTGTCAGATGATGTTGCTCCTTCCTGAAATGTATTTTTCCATAGGAGGGATTAGCAGCTGCACAAAAGCACCAACAGCTACTGCATTTCACAGGACAGAGAGACTCTACAGAGACACAATCATGTCTCTTTGGACTTTTCTGCAAGTTTTTCATGCCTTCTGGAATAAAAAAAGTCGAGTTTAAAGTTTCTTGCAGCATTGTTTGTGTGTCTGAGGCCAGCACCCAATATCCTGTGTATTGGGAAAGTGCAGAAGACAGAGATAACTCTCAGAGGAGAAAGAGAAGGTGTTCTGTCTCTGAGTATGGTGCAAGCACCCTAAAGGAGCAGCCAATGCAAGTGCTGAAAGTAGACTTGCTGTTCTTGTGCTCTTTCCTGAGCCCGCTCTGGTGCTGTTTCTGTGGGGTCCAGAGCTGCCGGGGCAGCAGCGACTCCGCAGCCCTGCTGGAGGAGACATGGTCGCCCTGTCCATGGTGGCAGCAGCTCTGCGGGCCCAGAGCTCTGGGTCAGGGGGGCCTTGGTCACGGCAACATGGCCTGGGCAGCCGCCAGGGCCCGGGCTGGCCGCCAGCCCTGCCTCTGCCCCCTGCCCCTTATTGGCAGCACCCAGACAGCAGCCCCTGGAGGGCCCCGTGCCCTCCGTGAAGGTGCTGACACCAAATACTGGGCACTGGGGGGTCAGGGCTCTACGGCGCCGGGCCCGGCTGGTGCTGCCGGGGCAGCAGGCGGGGCTGGGGCCGAGCTGCGGCGGGCCAGGCCGAGGAGGGAGCCCTGGCTCGTGGCTCACCCATGAACCTGATGGCCGCCTCTCGCAGGGGCTCCTGTGGGCTTTCCAGGTAGTGCAGGGCCCGGCGCAGGTGCTCGGCCGCTCTGCTCCTGTCCTCTGCCAGCTGCAGAGAGCGGCAGGAGGGAAGGGTTGGTGTGGGCTCAGCCCCTGGGCCGGGCGTTGCCTGCGCCCAGCCCCGGCCTCCCCTGGCCGCACAGCCCTGAAGCGCGGCCGGCAGCCGCTGGCACCGGGCTCCCGAGGGCAGGGGGCCGGCTGCTGCCCGGGGAGCTGCGGTGCCGCCCCGCAGCCCTGCTGGGCCGGGGCTCCATGGGCACCCGGCTCGGGCTCACGGGAGCCTGGAGAAGAGCCCGCACGTCCTCTGGGAAGGGAGTGGCGTGTGAGGCACAGGCTGGCGCCCCTGGGTGCAGCACTAGACCTGGACTGCCTCCAGAATTCAGACCTGACAGAACATGGCTTCACAGTTACATTCCCACAACAACAGATTTCCAGAGCTTTGGGCAATCACACAGCAGGTTTTTGTTTCGACGTGGCGGGATGGCAGAAATGCTGCAGCTTTCTTCAAAGCATCTCCTTCAGAAGCCGCTTGGAGCAAGGCCACAAGAGCAGCCATTTCAAGTCCATGCACACACACACACACATATACAACACAGCACAAATAGCTCAGCAGAGGAAAGACAGGAAGGGTCTTTGTATGATGTATTCCAGCAAAGGTTTATTGCATCCACCATGCCAAAGGGATCGGGGAGAAAGACCTGGACATATGCTCTGCACCAGGTTAAATAGGGGTCAGTGGGCAAATGGGGCAGCACAAAGGGCAGTACAAAGGGGATTGGCTTTCAGGGAAGACAGGGCTGGCCACCAGGGGTACCACAACCAATGAGGAAACACAGAAAGCAGAAACCCTGATAATTTGGGACATACGGGGGAAGGAACAGGAGTGGATCATAGTGTTGCAAGGCTCCATGGCAGAAGTCTTCTCTTTCAGCCTAGGTGGAGACTCTATTGTATATTCTTCCAAGGCAAGGCCCTTGAGATTTCCCTGAAGGGTTCAAAGGATTCCACAGGTTTTACATAGGAAGGGAGTGAACAAAAAACACATTTTTCACATCCAGGGCAGACAAATGATATGAGGAAAATAATTTACAAAAAAGAACCTTATCTCAAGAATTTATGATGCAAGCTAACTGCCATGTGAATCAGGGAAAGCCTGGCTCCTTTACTTTTCAGCAGGAAGTATTTCCCCATGTAAACAGATACCAGCGCTATTGTTAGTGCTGGATCCCCCAGGATGGTGTCATGCACAGCATACAGTACAGCTGGGTCAGGAGATGCAGGGAGAGAAGAGCAGCAACCTCTCTGAAGGTATCATAAGGATATAAAGCTAGCAGAGAGTATCCAAAGAAGGGCATGAAGATGATGAGGAGACAGGAGGGGAAGCTGTATGATGAACAGCTGAGGTCAATTGGCTTGTTCAGCTTGGAGAGGAGGAGGAGGAGAGAGAGGGAGGAGGTCTCAGCATGGCTGGCAGCTTCCTCCTGAGGGACAGCTCCAATCTCTGCTCTCTGTGACAGGGACAGCACCTGAGGGAATGGCTGGAGCTGTGTCAGGGCAGGGTCAGGTGGGAGATGAGGAAAAGGTTCTTTCCCCAGAGGGTGCTGGGCACTGCCCAGGCTCCCCAGGGAATGGGCACAGCCCCAGGCTGCCAGAACCCAAGGAACATTTGAACAATGATCCCAGGGATGCACAGGGTGGGATTGTTGGGGTGTCTGTGCAGGGCCAAGGGTTGGACTCCATGATTCTTGCAGGTCCTTTCCTCTGGTGAGTCTATGATTTCATGATTCCTAGACCCTGGGAAGGAGGATTGATACAATGCTTTGCCATGTAAATAAATGCTCTTTGTAGTGCCTTCAGTTGGCTGTGCTCTCAGTTGTACCAAACAAATGTGACAGAATTCAGCTGCTATTTTAGACAGAAAGCACAAAGCGCCACCTCACCATATCGAGCATTGCTCTATTTAAAGGTTCCAACAATCTCTTCTCCATTTCCAGATGCAAACATCAGCAAACACACGTTGGAAAAGTCAAATGAGTTCCAACATTCCCAGGATGCAAATTTTCACTAATGAAACCAAGCAAGGATTGCCCACAAAGCCTTTGGAATCACTTCCTAGATGAATTAAAGTCTCTTCCATGCAGGGCTGTAATAACTGAACATCTGCAGTGCTGAAAGGTTTCAGGTAGAGTGGGAACAAGTCCACAGTTTTCTTGTACAGTCTGAAATAGGGATGCAGGGTTGGACCAAAGGCTTTCCTCAGGGGGATGATGCCAATATCCATTGCATTCTGGCATGCCAGCATTCCAGACCCCAGCAGGTCTGACAGACAGCTCGTGCAAGCAACAAGCTAGATCTAGCTACTAGTGGATGGAATGGGAAGGGAGATGGATTCATTCAGACAAGCAATTAGTGCTTGAAGGAAACCCATGCACAGGTCCCTTTGTGTGAAATGGAAAAGCAAAGGGATTTTGGCAACAGTAGCAGAACTCTTGGAAATATGAGTGCTTTGCAACAGCAGCTTACAAGGAGTAATTGCTGCCACTGGACATTAGGGCAGATGAGAAGAGTTTGGGTAATGCAGGAATCATGTCAGGAGATAAGCAGTCGTCTCCTGTTTCCCCAGAACCTTGTAACAAGCAGAAAGGGCTGTTTGATCAACAAAAATAAAAATAGCAAGAAAATCCTACTGACTCCTGCTGAGACATTGATAGTCTGGTGCCTCTCTTGCCATCTGCTTGGGGTTACTGCCAGCTCCGAGCAATTATTCTTCATGAATTGGTACCTGTGTGAGCAACAGAAAGAATTGGAGAATAGAGCTCCCAGCCTACCTCAATGCTTTGCTTTCATCCTCTCCACATCAGCTCAGGTGATTTGGATGCCTTGTCCAGGGGAGAGTGTCCCTGCCCATGGCAGAGGGTGGAACTGGATGAGCTTTAAGGTCCCTTCCAACCCAAGCCATTCTGGGATTCTAGGATTCTTCTGAAGGCACTGTCATCTGTAATGAGAGATCCCTTTCCACAAGCTCCATCATAAGCTGCTGAGCCTTGTCCCAGGCTGCCCCACTGTATCTAATTACAGCCTGTTTCCCAGCCACACTGCAGCTCCCTTTGATATGTGCTGGCCTAAATGGCCTCCAGAGTTTCACTATTCTACAGCCTGGTTTTTAGGCAACTTGGAGTCCAGCACCTCCTACAACCAGCCAAGGAACTGGTGATCCTTGTAGATTTTATTAGGTGGTTGCAAGTCATCCGTGACTAAATGGAACTTGGGTCAAGTTAATATTCAGTTGTCCCAGGAAAACGTGAGCTGCTGACTGGGGAATGCTTGGCACAGGTTTAAGTTCTCCTGGACAAAACCACTCTGTGGAAGGAGGAGCCAGGCCCTCATGTCCAGGCTGATCAAGTTGTTCCAGATTATCCCATTCAACAGTTACATTTCTTAACCTGCTGTCTCTAAAGATGACAGTGTTCTCTGCATCCATCAGTGTTCTTTCACATCCCACTGTGGGATCCAAGCCAATTCTTCCTTAAAACTGAAGGTGAAAGTACACAAGGCTGATGACCAGACACTCAAATGGACTGGAGGCTTTGGGTCAGCTCCTCACACTGCAGCTTATTGTACAGGACACAGGAAGGCTACAGGGATCCAGCCTAATGCCCCACTTTGATAATGGAAAAATAAACCTTACTCCTGCCCTCACTTGTCTTTTCTATTTGCGTTGCCTGCTCTTCAGAGTTGAAAGGTACCAAGGGTAGAGGATCCAGCACAGCTGCCCTGCATTTTCTAGAGGCCCTCCAACACAAAGAAAACTAAAATAACCTTGGGTTAGCCATAGTTTTTCAAAGGCAAGTGAGCAAACAAGGTATTTTAAACAGTGCCAAAAATTGATAGAAACCCCAGATGGAAAACTGTATTTTTCAGAAAGAAAAACACAAATGAGGAACAGAATTCTGGTTTCCTTTCTTTCTCAGTATCAGACAATATGAATACAAGCATCAACAATTAATTCTAGCTCTTCTTCCAACGACACACCAATTGAACACCATAAATGCTGGTAAACTTTTTCAAGGCAGAGAATGGATTTAAAGAGGGCTACCCTGCTCCAGTAGCTGCTCTTGGATTTCAGCTGCACTCATTTAATTTTACTGGAAATCTCTTTCAGAAGGCCTTTCAAATCAGCGAGCTTTAAAAAAAAGAAGGAGGTTATTTTGGTAAAGTCTATCTAGCTGAAGGAAAGCAATGCTAATGAGAAAGTATTGCACCAAATGCAAGAGTGCTCAAGAAGATACTCCCAATTGCAGTGTTCATCAGGGCAATTAATGCAGCAAGCCCTGATGCCTCTGTATTTCAGTGAGTTAACCAGCAGTTACCAGAAGAGAGAAGCAAGAGATGGGTATTTCTTTTCAGGAGAGAATTAAGGTTAGGAGGATCTCCTTTCAGTTTCAAGAGCAGCATCACTAGCCACAGACTGGCTCACCACTTCCCTTTCAGTCTAGGAAGCAAACTATCATTTTGTAATCTAAATTACTTGACAGCAACCAAAATATGTATATGTGGCTCTTTTCACCTGTGAGCTTCTCAGAAGTCTGTGCTTCATACCAAAGCCACTCCCCACTTCAGAGGCCAGACAGATAATTCAGTCAAGCCTCAGAAAACACCCACTGTGAAGGTCTTTTCAGCATCACAGTCATAAAAAGATTATTTGTAGGGCAATTCACATAATGTGCTCTCTGGTAGATTGGTAGCTTTCTAGTGCTTAGTTACCCCATGCACACAGCACCAGAAGCTAAACTTGACACCTTGGGAAGGGGACATGTCAGCTGTGTGACACCCCTTCTTCCCATTGGTGTTTCATGGGCCTGTTACACAGCTGAATGCTGCAGTTTAAGGTGGAAATTACTTCTATTTTGTTCCATCCCACCAGGAATACTGAGAAGCACTCCTCCAGCACTGAGCAAGTGTTTTTCTGTTTCATTTTCCTGCACAATACGAAGCTCTTGTGGCTTGGAAGGCACCTGACAGCTCATTGTGTTCCATCCCTGCTGTGGGCAGGGACACAGGCTGCTCCAACCCATCCAACCTGGCCTTGGACACTTCCAGGGATGCAGGGGCAGCCACAGCTTCTCTGGGCACCCTGTGCCAGGACCTGCCCACCCTCACAGCCAAGAATTTCTTCCCATTATCCCATCTAATCCTGCTCTGTGTTCAAAACCATTCCCTCTTGTCCTAATCACTGTTGTATTGCACTAGATATTTAGTTGGTTACACTGGGTGTTGGGGAAAAACGTTTTTGGGTCACATGAATGGCATGTTCCCCCTTTCACATGGGTTCCCCTCACATAACCCCCTGGTTCTGTATGCCTTGTGGTCTGGCCCACGGATGGTCCCTCCCCTCACCCCTCCCGGATGTGGTCCTCTTTCCCCGCCCCCACCACCTGGGGCATAAAACCCCACCGCAGGTGAGACACACCCTCTTTGGTGCTTGGGTGGTCGCCTGCGCCGGAGGTGATCTGTCCCACACGAATAAACTGGACACTTTGACCCACGTGGCAGGGAGCACTTCTCGTCTTTTATCTCGTTCATGCGGTTCTGTGTCGGCTTGGGTCCTGAGTGAGCTGGGTTTGGACTCATATAAGCCCAGAGATCCACGGATACTGCAAATCACTACACTCTCTACACACTCCTGTCCATGGAATCAAAACAGCAAGATAAAAAAGCCCAATTAAAATGGGGTCCTGGTGACAGTGACAAAGACTGCACATGACTGTGGGAGGCTCATTTTCCTTGCCATGGCACACCCCCTGCTTTACCAGAGAGAATCACATTCCCCAGAGCAGTCTGGGACAGAAGTACCTTTGCATCCAGCTGTCTGAATCGATGCACCATTCTAGAAACCAGAAGGAGAACATGGAGCAAAGGGATCAGTCTGGATACCAAGGAAAACGTGGCCAATTACCACACCCCACCCCCCCTAGGGCTCCATCCTCCCAGGGAGGCAGGGCTGCACATGACTGGCATAATTTTTAGTACAAGTAAATAAAATAACATGCAAATTATTATTAGCAGGATGCTATTCCATTTTCCTTCTCAAGACACTTTTGCTTCCAGTACTAAGGAGATGGTTTTGGAATTTGTTTGGCTTCTTATCCAATGCTGTGTGTCTCTGGGTAGTGTTAACCTAAACACTTATTTGGTGACAGCAATGTTCATGCCCACGGATATGGAAGGGTCAGGTTTTTCTTGCCCATTCCCATCAACTCTCTCTGATTAAGGGAAATACTCAGGCTGCCAGAAGTTAGCAAAGTTAAGCAATCTTAACAGAGCAGGTTTTGCTCTTTAGCAGTGCTCTGTTTTCTTGCTTTCTTTCTGTTTCTTTTTTCTCTTATACTATTACTCTGAAAACAGTGAGACAGATCCCAAAGATAATGTTTCCATGAGCTGGCAGTCAAAGAAACATCCAAGTCTAAGTGTACAAGCCCCAAATACCATGATTCTAAAGATCATCTTCCCTCCTCAGAGGTCTTCCCTACTCATGCTACTGAGTACACGTCTCCATCTGGATTACTGCTGTGGGAATGTCAGAGATTCCAGATCCAATGGTAAAAATTCTCTGCTAAGAATATATAATAAAAAATATAATAAAATAATAACATAATATTATATAATTATAATTATATAATATATAATAAAATAATAAATGTATAACCATAGAATTATCTGGGTTGGAAAAGATTGAGTCCAACCAATTCCACCACTAACTCGTGTCCCCAAGTGCCACATCCACACAGCTTTTAAATCCCAACCCAAGGTGGGAGTGCCACCACTGCCCTGGGCAGTCTGTTCCAGGGCTGGACAACCCTTTCCACAAAGAACTTTTTCCTAATATCCAACCTAAACTAATCCTATAGCAAGAGTCAGCTGTGGCACTGCTTCCCATGATGAGATCTCAAAACACCATGGGAAGATATTTTCTTATCTTCAGCAGACTAAAAAGCACCATTTCACTTTAGAAATAAAAAGCATGTTTATGCTGAGTTTGCTTACTTACTCATTAGTTTGTAAACATTTAGATCTGCTGAAAACTTGCCTTCACTAGCAATGTTCAAGAGAAAATTAAGAGAATGAAGACAAAGATGGGCAGGCTTACTCTTCTGATGAATCATTTGCTTTTGTATTGATTTTGACAAGGTAATTTTCCTTCATGACAGCTTCCCATGCCAGGATTTCATTGTCCTCATTTCTTGAGCCTGGGAAATGTATTTGAAGAAAAAATGCTTAATTTGTCTTTCCAAAGCCAAGGTGCAAAAAGGCTGGATCAGTGTGTGCATTCTGAGGTTAATGATTCCCTTCTCCACATCCTGAGCACTCACAGCCCCACTGCCCACCCCTGACAGATGTGACACCAACACCTTGCACTGAATGCTCCTGGCAATCAGAGTCACTTAAAAATACAAAATATGAGCAAACATAAAACCCCAAACCAGCCAAACAAACATAAAACACCACCCACCTCGCCAACCTTACAAGCTCCAAAAGTCTTTCTGGACTTCTTTGAGTCTTGGTTAACGCAGGTGCCTCTGCTTCAGCAGGTACAGGACATTCTAGCAAGTTCCCATCTGGGTTTGAGCTTTCCATTTGTTTCTACATTATCCCATATTGGATCATTAAGAGTAACATTTCTAAGAACCACAGTGTAGGATTTTTCATTGAACTGAAACCCTCCTGAATGATGAAGAATTGTCTTCTCTAAGAAGCATTTTGTGGTGGTTCTGTAAATTCAAGAGTTGATACAGATGAGCCCACTTTGAGGCATCAAAGCCCTCCAGGGTAATACTTCAGCATTTATCATGTTCTAGGAGGACAGCATAAACCACAGGGGCTTAAATAAAACAATAAAATTAACTGAGACAAAAGAAGCCCAGGGCTGAAGTCCCTTTCTTCCATCCAGTGCTCCTCTGAGCTCACACACCCCTCAGCTGTTCTCCCATATTCCAACAAGTATTTAAGCACCCAAATCCCAACCATTTCCATAAGAGTTTAATGGGGAAGGCAGGATTTTACAACAGTCAACACATCAATGTGCTTCCTCCACATATTTCTCAGTTCCTATCATCAGCAAAACCACAATCATTTTCTGGCTCTAATTAACTCTCCCATTCTTTCAGAGCTGCAGCATCCACTGTGCATCATTTGAGCAGGAATTTCTGCCATCCAACAGCTTCCCCAGCAAGGAATTCACACAGCAATTTGGACAGCCAAAATTAGTGCTAAGCAATTTTATAGCCAAAGCAGGCTCTTCCTCCTAAACTGGTAACAAATCCAGCTTCTGCTGCAGGGCAACAGGCAGGTTGCTGATGGATGGGAACAACCTGTCAATTAACTCAACTTATGCTCTCTCAGCTGAGAAAACACTACATTTGCTGGAGAGGTGGGGGGAAAGCTTGTTAAAACAATTCCTATCTGTGTCCTCTGACAGAGAAATTAAAGGAGAAATAGCTCAAGAACTGACTTGCCATTTTTGAGGTGGTTTGTTCATTTGGCTACATGGAAATTCTTTATTCTCTTTCAGTCACTCCCTAGCAAGAATGAATTACAAAAAACCTTGCAAGGCAGGGAAACAGCACAGGCAGCCCTAAAGAGTTAGGATTAATCTGAAGTTTTAATGATTTACACACACAAGGCAATTTTACATCAAAATGGCTTGGACAAGAGAGCGCTGGCTAAATCTCACTTGAAAACTTGAATCTTACTGAAGAGATTTCCAGCAGCACAGTGGATTTGCACGACAGAGGTCTACGTGGCCCTTGGAAATTTCCCAGCACAGCATAAAATGTCTGGAATAAGCACAGGATGCCATGGAGGATCTGCAATGCACCTGCTGCATTGGTCAACAAGGGCAAAATCCAAGGTTCCTTGGGCAACAAGGAAAAATCCAACTCACAACAGATGGATGGCTCTTTGCTTTCCTTGTTACAGCAGCACTTGAAGCATTTCCTCAGCACCATGTATATGTAGGCAAAAATGACAAAGGGGAAGGGGATGGTCAGGCAACTGCAATATTCCTGCACCAGGAAAAAATGCTGGAACTTCCATACCTGGTCATTGTTCTCCTGCACTGATCCAACTGTGTAGCTGATGGGAAAGAGAGAACACACCCAGCATGAGTTATTCACCAAAGAGCTGCAACAGAGCCAAGAACAGAGCAATCCTCTACTGTACCAGGCCACAGAATCCCAGAATGGTTTGGCTTGGGAGTGACCTTAAAGCTCATGCCAATCTACCCCTGCCATGGGCAGGGATACCTTCCACCATCTCAGGTTGCTCCAAGCCCTGTCCATCCTGGCCTGGGACACTGCCAGGGGCAGCCACAGCTGCTCTGGGCACCCTGTGCCAGAGCCTCCCCATCCTCACAGGGAACAATTCCTAATTCCCAATCTCCCATCCATCCCTGCCCTCTGCCCTCTGGCACTGGGAGCCATTCCCTGTGTCCTGTCCCTCCATCCCTTGTCCCCAGTCCCTCTCCAGCTCTCCTGGAGACCTTTAGGGCCTGGAAGGGGCTCTGAGGTGTCCCTGGAGCCTTCTCCTCTCCAGGTGAGCACCCCCAGCTCTCCCAGGCTGGCTCCAGAACAGAGGGGCTCCAGCCCTTGGAAAATCTCCTCTGGACTCATCCCAGCAGCTTCTGATGTTAGGGGCCACAATCACTCATTTATTGACTAGGAGGTTATTTAGCTTGTTCTCCTTCTTAGTAATTTGCAAATGGGTGGAACTAAGACAGTAGGAAAAAAACCCAAAACCTTGAATTTACAAATAAACTGGAAAAAATCTAAATGGGAAGAAATGCTCCATGTACTTTTACTACCTCAGCTCTAAGCAATCTTCTTCTAGCCTAGACACATGAGAACAGGATGCTTCTTCACAAGATACTGTGTCTTATTAACTGAGCAGATAACTCCCTTCTTAGGAAAAAAAAAAAAACCCAAATCTAAAACTAAAACACTAACAAGAAATTTAAAAGCTCCTAAGATTTGTAGCAGAGGTATTAAGGACACTCCAGGCATGGATCAAATCCATGGCACAAAGCACTGTATAAACCCAGCAAGGCAACAACCAGAGGAGCACGTTCAGGTTAATAAAACCACAGTGTCCTGAAGAGTGAGAACAACTCATTTACTCACTCCAGCAAGGTCACTGGGGCAGAAGAGTGAGAACAACTCATTTACTCACTCTAGAAAGGTCACTGGGGCAGCAGCTCACACTTGGCAAGGCCCTGACCCAGTATCATCCCCTGTGTGACCCACAGGGGTTCACACCACGCCCACAGCGCAGAGGATGCTCAGAGATGGAGGCCAAGGACAGGCAGGAATCCCTCCCTAGAACACTGCACCAGCTCCCCCAGGCTGCTGGGACAGATGCAGAGGCAAGGGGTGGCTTCCTGCTGTTTTCCAGCAGTGCACTCCCTTTCCCAGGGAAATGCCAGTGCTGGGATGCCCGGGAAGGCTCCTGGGGTACGCACCTGAACATGGCCACGAGCAGGTTGACCAGGAGGATGTTGGTGGAGAGCATGTAGATGCACACCGGGGAATGGTGATCCACTTGGGGAAGCGGGGCTGGTTGTTGGCATCCAGCTCCACGCACAGGGGCTTGGACTCGTTCCCAGAAAAGGCGCAGTGGTCAAAGTTGTAGGTGGTACCTCCGAGAGAGAGGGGAGAGCAAACAGTGAGCTCCTGTTCTGCTGGGCTGTCCTGGATTGCCAAGCAAATTGTGTTCTGTTTGCCATCTGTATGGCAGCTGTCTGGGGAGACACCTGCTGATAAGAGGCCATTGAATGTCACTGCATGGCTGATAAGAACTACAGCATCCCACCGGGAGATGTGAGCCCAGAGGGGAGAGCCAAGCATTCTACCCCAACATAATGTGGAGATTCTGGAACATCAGCAGGGCTTTTCTCTACTGGATTTCCCAGAGTAACAGCTGTTCTCTTCCCCTGGATCTTCAGAGGAAGACTGCACCTTTCTATAGGATCCCTGCTCCAACAGAACCACACCTGACACTCCAGGAGGACTGCAGCCACAATTTCAATGGGACTGCTGCCAACACCCTGACCTACAGAGTGTCAGGTTGTGTTCTGACTCTGTCAGTGTTTTAGTTTACTGCATTGCTTATCTTTTTATTTTCTTCCCTATTAAAGAACTGTTATTCCCTGCTCCCATATTTTTTGCCTGAGAGTCCCTTAATTCAAAATTTATAGCAATTCAGAAAAGGGAGAGGTGGTTTTACATTTTCCATTTCAGGGGAGGCTCCTGCCTTCCTTAGCAGACACCTGGCTTTCCAAACCCAGACAAGGGCCCAGCCCCAGCTCCTGCCCTCATCCCTGCTCCCTTTAAACTTGGAGGCAAGGGGCCAGCACAGTCTGGACAACCTTTAGGAGTACAGAACCTTTGACCCAGCCAGGAGAGACCCCCAGAAGATAAATACCATCAATATCATCAGGGTACTGGCCAAACATGGCCAGGTAGGGCTCGTAGATGACCGACCGGAAGATCCACTCCCAGCGGTGCTCGTTCTTCCTCAGGATGCTTTGCCTGGCCACACCAAAGGCCACCATCCACACAGCAAAGAGGAAGAGGAAGAAGAAGACATCTATCATCTGAAAAAGGGACAACAGGCATCAATCAGTGCCCCACTGCAGGTTTGTTGCAGGCCACACATGGATGACTTTTTGCTCCTCGTTTCACCAACACACATGGTAACAACTGACCACTCCCATTCAGAGAACTTCAAACATATTTATGCAACCACAAAAGCAAGGCATGTTTGGGAATACAGGATATCCCCCTGGCATTAAGACAGGCTCCACAAAAGCCAGAACCAGGTAAAAAGGACTGTGGCTCACCTTATCCCTGTGAGATGAAAGCTTCTGGAAATGCCACTCTGGATGGCTTCCAATCAGCATTTACAGCACAGACACTCTGGCCAATGGTCTCATGAATTTCTAGCACTGTGTGAGAGGATCCTCATCACTCTCTTTCTCAGGTACTCGTGTGATGGATGCAGTGGAGGACCAAAATCCTCCCCCTGTACCCTCTATCATCACTGTCTTGTTTGGGGAATACTCATGGGAGCAGCAGAAATACCACTGAAACCTTTGTGGTATGGAAGACAAAAGCTACCAGGAAGCAAATTTCCTCTTCTGTTCTTCAGCCTGATCCTTATTCTCTCTCTTGACACAGAAAAATGTCCTGCTTTTAATTAGATCCCATTTAAATCTTAATTCATCCTGTTTAGCAGATTTAACTTGCTGCCATCATCAGAACATAGTGATTTCGCTCTTAAGAGGGAAGGGGGAAAAAAAAGTGTCACATCATTTATTTAGACTCTCTTGAATAGCTGCCAGAATTTTACCATCCTCTGCAGCATAATAATTTTGGGTCCTAGATTCCTGCTAACTGTGAAAATGTGGATGAGCCTCAGGGTAAAAACTATGTAGTCCAAACAGAAAATTACTCTCCCGGAATACCAAGAGCTTTCATCAGAGTGAAGCCTGATGGAGACAGCAGAAGAAAACAAAGAGAAGCCTTGGGTGAATCATGCAGAAATCAGGTAAAACCACACAGAAACATTGAAATGGAGAGTGGAAGGTGAGTAATTGGAAAGCAGAGCACAGCTATGCAGGGCTCCATGGCCTCCCCCATCTAATGACAGGTGACAGAGATGGTTAATGCACGCTCCGTTTACACCCTTCCTTCTGACATGCATCATATCCCTGCTCATTTTTTCTCTTAAAGCCATTACCAGCACAGAAATCTGTACCTGGAGCTACTCCCACAGCCCTGTGAAACCACCACAGTTCAACAACTGCCCCACTGCCCTGAGGCAACAAGGACTAAGTTACAGCTGACTGAACAATACCTTTGGAAAACGTGTTTCCGTCATTTCTTTGCCATGGCTTTTAACTGACCCCATCATGTAGAACAGCTTCTGGGAGGTAATGACATTGTTAGGCTGCTGTAGGGACAATCACAGTCCTCTTAAATAGAACACAAAGCCCAGGTGGTCATACTAAATAGTCAGTAACAGGAGCCACAGAAAATCCTAAAGATCCCCTGACTTTTTTTTTTTTTTTTTTTTTGTCAGTATTTGGGGCCTTTATAAAGGGAATTTCATGAACACACTGCTCCCCAAAATTTCATTGCAGGTTGTAGTAAAACCCCACCTTAAGGGAGGGAAGCAATGCTGTAACATGGACACAAGAGAAGGCACTACTCACCTGAACACAATCCCTGCTATGAAGTAGAAGATTGCAAGGGTATCCATAACATTCCACAGGTCTGAGAAATACTTGCTGCCGTTCATGTACCACTGGGAAGGAAAAAGAACAGAAAGTAACCTCCACACAGCACAGTTTCCTTGCCCAATTAGCTTTTTGTCACACAACAGATAACACCAGAGTTCAGATGGCTTTCAATTTCCCCAGAAAGAGGGGCTTAGTGTATCCAGCAATGCCACAAGTTACTGGCAAGATGGTTTTTTGGGTCTTGGTGTTACCCAGGAAGCTCTGCAGAGGGGAGGGGGGGTCACAGTTTAGGGGTAGCTGATGCATCCTGGCTTCTCTCCCTTCACAGAGATCATTCACTGATCTGCCCCCAGCTACATGCACATGCTTTGGATCCAAGATGCAGATTTAATTTATTTTTTTAACTACAGAGCTGTCTATTTCTGAATTGCAAGTCTAGTGAGAATCCCTGCTCATTCCCAGACTGACTGGCACAGCAGCCTGGATCCCCACAGATCCTGGATCTGTGCAAGAACCAACCTCAGGAGTCAATTCAGAGGTGACTCATGAGGACAAGAAGCTTCACCAGGACAAACCTCTGCCAGGCCTGGAGAAATAAACTGCATCCCCAATCATAATTCTTTTGAATTTCAATTTTCACTGAAATAATCAAAGTTTTGGAGAGTACTGCTCAGTGAATCTCTAACTGGCATATCCAAGGAAGGCAATTCTGCCCTTAGTGCTTCTATGGGAAACAAACAGGAATCAAAGGGAGTATTCTCCTAGGTGCTGTCTCTGCCCAGTAGCTCCCTAAATAAAACAAAACATCTGGGACTGAGGTGCAGTTCTCCAAATTCCAAGCAGTTCCTACTGCTGAGAGGTGAAGTGCACAGAGGTTCTGTCCAGATTCCTGCTCCACAGGAGAAAACAGGGCTATCCTTCACACCCCACCAGGGCACCCACTCACCTGGCTGGAGGCTACCTCCATGGGGCCAAGGAGATAGCAGAGAAAAGGCCTCTCCAATTTCCCTAGGGCTCTAAAGAGGACTGGGAGAGCTCCAGCTACTTACAAATCCCTGGGACCACCAGAAGTGAAAGCAGGGCAGAGCCAGTGCCTAAAAGATCAGAGACTGTTCCACACCAAGGGCTGATTTCTCTCCAGGACTGGGTATCTGACTGCAGCAGCTACATGGGACCCCAGGCAAGCTGCTCTTACTTGCCATGGATGTAAAAATACAATCTGAGATACCCCTCTCTTTTATTTCTTTAAATACAAAGGACACAGACACAATTTTGATGCAGAGTTAGAGCCATGCACACATGGTCTATCTCAGGGGAAGCCAGGGAGGAATTTCCCCAAGAAGTTTAGAGGATTGGGACACTGCTCTGCTTTTCTGCTCCATTTCTCCTCCTCAGGAAACCAGCTTTGCAGCCAGAACACTGTCTGCAGATAACTTGAAATCTTCAAATTTAGCTGCCTCCACTGCCAAATTGGTACAGTCTGGCTACCAGTTATTAAAGGGAATTGCAGCAGTTCTACCTGCTCAGGGTAGTAAGAAAAAGGGACATTGATAGGAAAATAAGGTTGCTATCCCTAAGGTTTTCCCCAGGACTTTTGCTGGGTACACACAGGACGTGCAAGGACATGTCCAGAGACACCAGAACCTAAATCAGCAGAAACAAACACTCCATTAGTGTTTTCATGGCAAAAAAAAAAAAAAAGTCTTTTACTTTTCCCCCATTTTCTTAGCAAGTAAAGTTGCCATAAACAGGGTTCCACCTTTACTATTAAAAAGGGAAAACACCACAGTAACAGCAGCATCAGAAATGTCATCTGAGCTCAAGTATAAAAACATTATTGCAGGGTGGGATGATCCAGCAGATCACCCACAAACACTCACGAGGGGACTCAGGCCTTACAGCAGAATCAGAAAGCAGCACCAAACCCACACACCCACTGCTCTTTGCTCTTCCGACTGCCCCAGAATCCTCCCACTGCTCTGGCTATGCACTGGCAGAGAGCAGCTTGCCCTAAACCCACCAGATTCCATGTGAAGTGAGGAGAAGATACCAGGAAAGTGGCTGGCTATAAAGGCAGCCCCACATGCTGTTCCCACATCACAGCTGGTCCTTGAGTCTGCACTGAGCCACCAAAAACTGAACAGATGATTAAAAGCTAAATAGAAGTGCATAAAGGTATGCAGCTTACTGGCAAAATGAAAAAATAAAGGGGGTGGAATGTAGGGAAGAGAGGCAGGCATGACTTAATCTAAAGATAATCTAAATGATTAATCTAAAGCTCTGCACCAAGATAAATGTGCCAAATCTAACCCTTTATTACCAACTACCTTGGCAAGCCAGGCATTCCTGGGGAACATCTGCACTGGCATCATTATCTTCTTGGTGCACAGACACTGCAGCTACAGGGGCACAGGCAGGGACTAAACACCAGAGGAAAAAACCCCTCACTGAGCCCTGAGCAGCCCTGCTAGGAAATGGCTCCCCTGAGCCATTGGAGGGGAAAAGCCACAGGGCTGTGGCTCTAACACTGAACTCTCTGGGGTTGCAGGAGCTGCCTACTTGTCTCATTTCATCACAAAGCAGAATGAAGACCAGCACGTAGAGGATGATCTCCAGGGCCGTGGGTTCCTTCTGGAAATCCATCAGCAGCACGTAGGCAAAGAGCAGCAGGAAAGCAATGTAGAAGATGACATTCCAGGAGAAGACCACAAAGGGGGACGTGAAGAAAGACACATAATATAAGAAGAGTTTCTTACTCATCTCCACAGTCTTTTTCCTGAGGAATTAAAAGAGGGAAAAGGTCTCAAAGCATAGCTTTTAATGCCTGGAAACATCTGTGTTCTTAAAAGCAAAAGAAAAAAGGGTGCAAAGCTCAGAATGTTACTTCAGAGGTAAAGACATCCTGCACCCACTGCCCTCAGGCACTCCAGCAAACTGGTAAATCTTCCAGCTTGGATGGGGCTTGGAGTCACCTGGGATAGTGGAAGGTGTCCCTGCTCATGGCAGGGGTTGGAACAAGATAAGCTTTAAGGTCCCTTCCCACCCAAACCATCCTGTGATTCTGTGATCTTGTATCCAAGATCAGAGTGAAATACAAACTATCAAAAGCTCATTTGGCTTTTTAATACCTTCATCTAAGATTGCCCAAACACTGAACAGCTTCCCCAGAGTGGCTGTGGATTCTCCACCCTTGGAGAGGTCCAAAACTGGGCACAGTCCTGGACAACCTGCTCCAGCTGACCCTGTCTGAGCACAGGGTTGGACTGGGTGATTTCCACCCAGCCTGACTTGCCCTAAGATTCTACAATTAATTAACTTGCTTTCCCTCTGAAAAATTTCCCACTGATGAAAAGTCAGTTGATTACCTGAATGAGATGAAACCACAGCCTATTAAAGGGAAAAAGAACAGGCACAGTATAATCTTCCAGTTCTTAGTATCTCTTGAAATCTCTCCATACCATTGTTTGGAGAGGAAATTCTGCAGGGAAGAAGGAAACACCCTCATTTGTGCTAACAGCAACAAAATCACCTAGGAATGCTATTCAGAACATTTGATTTGGTAAAAATAAACCCCAAACTTTGAGATTTCAGTCAAAATACTAGAGATTTCTGTTGCAACAAACCAGAAAGGTCTCAGCAATGCTGGCTCCTTAGGGCAGCCATGCTCCATCTATGTGATGAGGAGTCAAAAATGAGGCTGAGCAGGACTTGACCTGATTGATAAAACACTCATCCATGCTGGGCATTACATCCACACTGTGCAAGCCAAGAGCAGAAATCACTTCAGGCAGCCTTTATTACCCAGTTCATTAGGATTTATAGCCCCAAGCCAAGATTTTTTTCCCCTCCTGATTTACATTTGTGGGTAGAGGAGCCAACAGCCCCTGTTAGAGCACAAGAGCCACAGTGACCTGCACACCTTTCCCTCACAGCCATTACCTGCACACCTGGCTGGGCAATAAACTGCTGGTCCCTGGCCTCCACTGCTAGCTCCAGACAGTTGCTGCCTCCCCAGGCTACACAGGAATAAGTCAGCAGCTGCTCTGCCAGCTCTTCATCATTGCTGTAGCACTCGGTGAACAGTTCTGGAAGGAAAAAGCAGCTCCAACTTCAATTTCCCACCAACTTGGGTGCAAATATCTTTAGTGTAATGTTTGTGATATCACATTTTCAGCACTGCAGAATGACTGTGCTGAAATCCCTTTACAATCCTACTTGCACATCTTCAACTTTTGATACAGAGTTTGAGCCTGGATGGAAAACTGTAACACTAAATCACACAGAGAGCATTTATTTCTGCACTAAAAAATTGAGTAAAAAATATGAATTTCTCCGTAAATGACTCAGTAAATCTACTTGCTTCATCAGTTTTTCCTAAATTCTGTTTGGCACTGATCTGATGAATTATAGTCAGTCCAAAATTAACAGTAGGGTTGAAATAGTCAGAATCTGATGCTTTTTCACTGGGAAATGCACTGTTCACTCCTTAGTATCCTGCTAAATCATCAGGCCTGAGGGATGTAGATACCTTTGAAAAAGTCTATTTAAGCAGTTTTTGCTTTGTGGAATAAGAGAAATCTCTGGAAACAAGCAAAATATTTCCAGCATGGCCTTGAGCTGGTCCTTGTAAAGTCACAGAACCATCAATCTACTTTTCACCTGCAACTTGTTCTCACTCCCCAGAAGTACTCCCACAAATCTGAAGGGTGTTTTTTCCCAACCTGAATACTACCAGTATTCATTAGGAAAGTTTCCCCTTTTCCATATTCTTCTTCCTGTTTGTGGGCATCCTTCTTCAGCCTTGCCAGTGGAGCTAAGTAGCTTTTCTTCCCCATGAAAGAAATTCTCCACCCCAAAAAAAACCCACTTCACAACACCCACCTTTTGAAGCCAAGCTCTTAAGTCAGGACGCAAAATTTCTACTGGGAACAAATGGTGTGGAAGGAATTTCCAAGCAGTAAAATCACATGCTGACATAAAAGAAAAATGTATTTAATGTGAGATATCTAGTTTTTAATTCCCTGCTCTCTGACCCTTCCCACTAAATTTCTAAAGGACTCACAGAGCAGGCACTTACCTACTGCTCTTGTCTCATACTCGTTAGCCAGTTCCTCGGACTCACCAGCAGCATTTATATCATTCTTCACCTTGGCCATGCTTTTCAGGAGCTTACTGGCCCCCAGGGCTGCCAAAGTGCAGCCTCTCATCTGTGGAGAGAGAGTGAAGTCATGCACATCCCTCTGAGAAGGGAACATGATCATAGAGCCCTGAAACCACAATGATTTGGGTTGGAAAGGACCTTAAAGTTTATCTCATCCCAACCCCCCGCCACAGGCAGGAACACCTTCCACTACACCAGGTGGAATCCTTTAAAAATTCTCCTCCTTTTTGCACCTTCTCAGTTCCCAGTCCAGAATGATCTATTTGATTCTACAACCATTAAATTACTGTCTAATCCAAATTAGAAGTTGGATTTCAATCAAACCCCCGGAATCAGAACCCATCCATGCTGTGGAACGGGTGGGAACTCAGCTTAGGCACAGGTGACAACAGACAGTGGATGTGCACTGCTGACTCACACACAACCTTAGGAAATCAAAGTATCAAGTCCACACCCAGACACAAAATGGGCAATATAAAACCTACTGAGAGTCATCTAGCAATCATCTCTTGTGGTCTTGTGTTTGAAGCTGGATGTGGAGCCTTCAAAGGCCAATAAACCAAAGACACACAACCCCAGTGCACTACCTGCAGAGAGAAATAAAGGAGAACTCAACTTACTTGCTCCCAAATGACTTTGGACAACTCTTTCTTGTTCTGAAGAACTGACCAAATAAACAGAGCTTGCAATGGGTGCCTTGTGATAGGACACTCCTCCTGAAAGAGAGAGCAAGAATTCAGGCCTGAGCTCACCAAATGGTTTCAACTGGAACAAATCTGAGCATGGACTCTCCTGTTTTTGTATTTTCTTTGTTTCACAGCCACCTCACCAATTTCCTCTCTCAGCTATCTGCCACTTGTCACACACTACTGTGAGTTAGGCTGTATTTGATGTTTCTATTAAAGCTTTGTATTTGACAAGGAACAATCAGCCTCCCTGATTTTCCTGAAGCTGGTACTAAAGAATATTTGTGTAAAAGGTCCTTGATGCTTTAACCACTGCAGCCAGATAACCTCACTCAGAGCAGGATCAAAGTGCTCATCACTCACTGAGAGCTGTATCTCCATCTCATCCTTGCTGTTCTTGTAATATCTTTTGAAACCTCTGCGGAAATCCTCCACCATCTTCCACACAAAGGTGAGGAGGGCATCGTTGTAGGAGTTCTTGGCAATCTGCAGGTTGTTGAACACCAGGCTGCTGAAGTTGTTGGTGTAGAGCTCCCTCAGGACCTCTGTGGTCAGGAACTTGCGCAGATTCAAGCCGTTCTCCAGGAAGAGCCGGACAAATTTGGGCCTGTCTTTCACCAGGGCTGTGAACATCACATCCTGCAGGTCTGCAGACTAGGGAGGAATGGAAGAGCAAATATTGGGGATCATGTGAGACATGTACACCTTATCTAAGGCCTGACACACAGTCACTGTCATGTTTTCATCACAATCAGGTTTTTTTCTGTACACAGTTGCCTTGGCTGGATGGCCCAGAGCATTTCTGGCATGGGCACATCACCTTTGCAACCACTGATGATACAATGGATCATCATGGAATGATGGATTGTCACTATAGGACACAAAACAACACGATGTGGACTTGCTGCGCTTTCCAAGGTAAAAAGGCCTTTTTATTTTCTGACTCCAAGATTTATCAATTTCCAAAAGTGACAGTGGATTGGAGGGTGACAGTGCCACCTCTCCAATGACACTGGAAAAACCAACAGTCCATCAAATTCCTCCTCCATAAAAGAATGCAAAACAATAGGTTATTTACAGAAAGTGTGTGAGAAAGTTCATTACTAGAATGTAAACATCAGAAGGCTTAGAAGAACTTAAAAAAACAGGGCGACAACGGATCATTTTGGAATGATCCAAAACTATCATTCATGGATATGGAATACCCCGAGTTGGAAAGGACTTGCAAGGATTATCAAGTCTGACACCCCTGGCCAGGCAGAGAGACCAACAACCCCACCCTGTGCATCCCTGGGACCATTGTTCAAATGCTCATTGGGCTCTGGCAGCCTTGGGGCTGTGCCCATTCCCTGGGGAGCCTGGGCAGTGCCCAGCACCCTCTGGGGGAAGAATATCCAGCCTGAGCCTCCCCTGACACAGCTCCAGCTGCTCCCTGTCACAGCAGAGTTGGGAGCTGCCCCTCGTGAGGAAGCAGCAGCTCCCAAGGAGGTCTGACCTCCTCTTCTCCAGGCTGAATGGATGTGTCAGTGCAGGAGCAGGAGGCACTCTGAGCACAGAGGCTGAGGTGCTGGGACAGGGGGCTCCTGTTGGGCTGTGTCCCTTCCCAGAGCCTCTGCATTCACTCAGAAGGGGCTGTACCTCCCAGTTTCGGTCGTTGGTGAAGATCTCATCACTGGCCAGGTCCAGCTGGTTCCACTCCAGCAGCAGCTTCAGCTGCCCGTTCCAGTTGTCCCTGTCGTGCTCGTTGGTGCTGAAAGCTGCAGAGCAGGAACAACCTCTGGTCAAGGCCAGGCATATTCATCATCTCTGCTTCTCACACTGCTGTTGTATTTGTGGGGTTCCCAGACGAAGGAGGGAATGATGAATCTGACTCCATGTTCTCAGAAGGCTAATTTATTATTTTATCACACTATATTCAAAAATACTAAACTAAACTATACTAAAGAATACAGAAAGGATACTTACAGAAGGTTAAAAAGATAATGAAAACTCCTGACTCTTTTCAGAGTCCCGACACAGCTTGACGCAGGCTGGCCAATAAGTCAAAACAATTCACATGAAACCAATGAAACAATCACCAGTTGGATAAACAATCTCCAACCACTTTCCACATGTGAGCACAACACAGGAGAAGCAAATGAGATAAGAATTGGTTTTCCTTTCTCTCTGATGCTTCTCAGCTTCCCAGGAGAAAATCCTGGGTGAAGGGATTGTTCAGAAAATGTGGCAGTGACACACTACCAGGACAAGACTCCTTCCAAGGGGCTTTCCCCACACTCATGCACATCTTCCCAGCTGGGAGCTGTAGGATGCTGGAGGCTCAGGGATGTATTTATGGTCCAAGGCAGGCCACAAAGGAGCTGCCAGGAGCACCTCATAACCAAGGTCAGCACAACACTTCCTTCAGGCTCCTCAGAGTCCTGCACTCTCTACACAGGAGAGATCCTGCAGGATTCCCAAAGGGGCCCTGTCAGCATCCCCAGGGCTTCCAAAATGCCTTCCCAATTACCTGGTTTGGATCTTTCCCACCCTGAGAGATCCCATACTGGTGCTGCAGCCTGCCCACACCCCTTCAGAGAAAAGCAGGCTCCACACTGTGGCAGGAGCTTAGCTCTAGAGAGGTGGCACTGCTCTAAGGAAACTTTTCTAAAGAATAAACAGCCATAATTTTCCCATTTATTTTTAAATCCCCAAACAAACTCAGAAAAACAATTACTTGCCTTTGTACAGGGCAAAGGAAATGGCATTGCTCACAATTTCATCTCCAGCTTCTTCTATTTTTATCACTGTCAGTAAATGAGGGCTCTCAAGGACTTCTTTGATCTACCAAAAAAAAAAAAAAAAAAAAAGTTGTGTTTCAAAGCTATCAAGGCTGTTTAGTAGCATATCTCCTGTTAAAAAGAAATTTGTCACCACATCATAGCAAAGCTGCTTCTCATCAGTCCTGGGTTTTAACAAATTTAAACAAACCCAAATAGAAGTAGATAATGAGCTTGATTTTCAAGACACCAAAGGACAACATTAATTATCCTCTGAACATACAGCAAATAACTGTGATTCCCCTATGCAGATCATCTTTAACAAGAAGATATAATCTCAGTAATTAGAAATTACTCTTAAAGTAGAAAAGGTTGTGACAGCACAAGTTTCAACTTATGTCAAGCAGCTTGTTAGAGAACAGTCTGTAGCTCCATGTGCTTTGTCACAACCAGATAATTTCTCCTATAATGAAGCTTTGTAGAGTTAATTTCATTTTAGCACACAGAAGACAAATAATCTTGGCCGTTTCTGATGCAGGAGGAGGTGCATTCCAAGGCAGCCCAGCAGAAGCTGTGAGGAGTGTGGCCAGACAGGGAACAAACACAGGTCTACACTCCACAGGGAAGAGATCCTTCTGGAACCTTCTCAGCTTTCCTGTGACCAGACACCTGCTGACCTGATTGCAGCCCCCACAATGCCTTTGTTCCAATCCCTGTAGATGGAGAATTTTCCTTTTTTAAATCTGCACAGATGTAACATGACCAGGAGCCCCACACACCCCATAGGTATCCCCAGACAGCAACTCCCCTGCCTTGGAAGCCCCAGCTGCTCCCTGCAGCCTCCTCCCACAGCATCAACTCACCCACTTGATCCAGCTCTCCGTCTCCTCCTCGGAGAGCCTGGAGATGGTGCGGGGCAGGAACCTGAGCAGGCTCTCCTTGACACAGGAGGAGGCCAGAGTGCCCTCGGCCTCCAGCAGGCTGGCAATGACATCGGTGATGCGCCCCGAGCCCTCCACCACCACACACGGGATCTTGCTCTTGATGGCCACGTTGATGGACTGGGGACACACAGGGAGAGGAGGAGAGCACTTGAGCATGACTGCTGCTGGAGCCTGCTATTGAGTAAGGAAGCCTGGAGAACAACAGAAACCCCCTGTCCACAGCAGTATTTTTATTGTTATCCGCTGATACTTTACCAGTGACAACTCTTTGAAGCACCATCATCTGATGAGAGAGGGCTGTGGGAGCCCCAGAGAGACTGAGGGTCACAAATCACCATCTGCCAAACTTTCACAGAATCACAGAACAATTTGTGTTGGGAGAGACTTCAAAGCACATCTTGTTCCACCCCCTGCCATGGGCAGGGACACCTTCCACTAGGCCAAGCTGCTCAGCTTGAGAGTGGATCAGCAGATCAGGACAACAGCCAAGGGGAAATGGCATTCAGGTCACACACCAGTGCTGCCCAGCTGTTGGGGAAGATGAAACAGGAAAGCATTATAAATATGATTGTCTGGAAAAAGATTTTGAGAATATGGAAACTAGAAGTGAGATTGAAATGAAAGCAAGCTTTGAGATCCCTTAGTTATGAACAACTGGAAAACAATGGTGTGGCCAGCTGAAGGTAATCCCCTTTTGATAAAACAATACCCTCTGCTTGCAGGCAGGTCCAAGGGTCAGAGCAGACCCTGCCAGCTTGGCAGAAGGGCCCAAAGAGGAGTTTTTAGGGTTTAAAATGTAGCCCAGTATGGTAATGTAATGATTCTTATAGGCTGTATGGGAACGCTATAGGATTTGTATATTGTACTAGATTGGTTAGTGAGAATTAGAATATTCAACACAGAATATGATTTATTGTATTGTAATGGGAACTTGGCACTCTTACTTCTTGCCTTTTAGCTCTTACTCTTACCTCTTGTCTCTTAGCTCTTGCCTTTTATGCTCTTACCCCTTTTGCTCTCTTACCCTTTTACTCTCTTGTAGAAGCGAAGGGAGACGACCCATCCTTTGATCAGCATCGAACTCCAATTTATTCATCCACGATGCACATTTTATAACAGTGTTAATTAAGTTCATACATATTGCAAAACCCGAGCTCATAATTGGTTACAGATTAAACAGCAACCCCTCCTTTTGTTTTCAATACCTGTGGTTTGTTATTGAGACCAAGACTTGTTTGTCTCATCCTGTTATGAACGGTTCTCAAGGCCTCCATGTTTGTCACTTTTGCTTTCCCATAACTTATCCAAGGACAAGATATTTACTTGTTATTAAAAAACAACCTGAGAACTTCTGCTGTTTACATAAACGTGCCTGAGAATTTTGTTGTTTACAGGAACAGGCTTTGAGAATTTGCTCCTCACAGCTGCCTTTTACTTTTCCATCAGCTGTTTATGATTATGGCATGTCTGAACAAAACTCTATAAGCCATCTCTGAACAAAATTCTCCAACACTCTCTTACCCTCTCATCCTCTCTCCCCCTCTCTTCTCTCGGGCCTGCTCCTAGCTGTGGCTGGCAGCTCCCAGAAGGGCCCTGGACCCAGGCCCTCTGCAATAAACCACAAGTTCCACGACCTAGCTTCAAAGATCTCTGCTCTCTATTCGTCCTGACTGTGTGACCCCCCAACCATCCGACACCCAGCCATAGCCACTGCTGCTTTATGGCTCAGCATTGCTCAGCTGGGACCAAGGGCTCTGGATTTATTTGCTGGAAGCAGCAGCTGCAGTGTTTTACAGAGAGATCACTACTGTATTATCACAAGACCACCAAACTCTAATGTTACTGAAAGTCTCCAACTAGCCACTGACATGATTTCTCACACAGCAATATTGTACATGGACTAATAGCCAGACAAAAATCTGCTGGAATCATGCTGGAAGGACCATTAACCCATTAAGCAAAGACCATAGGAGACACTGGTTTCATTTGCATCCCTACACTGAGAACAGAGTCACAGCATGAGCTGGCTGCTAGCAAATTGCACAAAGGGAGGCAATGCAAGTTATCACCAAGCACTGGAAAGACAGAACAGCTATTAGTTAAGAGAGTTTCTTGAGAACAAAAAAAAAAAAAAAAAAAAAATTGTTACCGGGCTTGCAAGGGTTCTTCAGGGGTGAAGAGAGAGACGAGAATCTTGACTCCATGATCAGAAGGCTGGATTTATTATTTTAAGATATATAATACATTAAGACTATACTAAAAGGAATAGAGAGAAAAGTTCAGAAGCTTGCTATGCTAAGAATAGAAAAGGAATGAATCAACAAAGGAGCTCTCTCTGATTCTGTCCCAGAGAGAGCTCAGTCTTTGATTGGCCCTTAATTGTACACAACCAACATGGGCCAATCACAGGTGCACCTGTTGCATTCCACAGCAGCAGATAACCATTGTTTACATTCTTTTTCTGGGGCCTCAGCTTCCCAGAAGGAAAAATCCTAAAGAAAGGATTTTTCACAAAAGATGTCTGTGACAGAAACTGATAAATAGCTTTTAGGAACATAAGACAATTGTAGGCCTCCTCTGTTCTGAAACCAATTGAAGACGGGGAATGGGAGTTCTACCAAGAGTTCGTTTGTCATATTTGCATTGAAAAGGCAGAAAGGTCAGAATGAGGAAGACTTCATTTACTTCCTCATTTTGGGACCCCTCCCCATGAAAGGGACCACCGACCCATTTCAAGGAACAAACTATGCATGCTTAATGGCTTTTGAACTAATTACCATACGAAGTGGGGAATGGGATGTACCAAAGTTATGAATATGCATTTGTATTTTGGGTATTCAGTACTTGGATAGATAAAAGGACTCTGTAATCACCTGTAAATTGGGGTGTGTATTTGGCAGCTATCCCACAATAAACTTACACTTTCTAACTTTAAACTGCTAGAGAGTCTTTGTCTGTCACAGTTGGATATCAGTACTAGATCAATATCCATATTTTTAATAAATCACAAGTGCAGCAGCCAAATGAACACTTTGCTCACCCCCAGACCCTTGGACCTGCTGCCCCTGCAGTGCAGCAGTGAAGTGGCAGAGGCCCAGCAGCAGGTGCTCACCCTTGGACTGGGCAATGTAGATCAGCCTGCTGAAGATCTTGCGCATGCAGGGCTTGAGCGCGAAGTTTTTGGCACCGCCGGTGATGGAGATGACGAGGTTGAGGGTCTTCAGGTGCCAGTGCTGGGTCATGAGGTCGTAGAGGGTCTCAGATTCTGTGTCACACGACAGGCGGATGTACTTGGGGAGAGAAAACAGGAGAACAAACATAGAGGAGATAAATCGAGGTCGCTGGGAACAACCCAGCAATTGCATTTTCTTCTCTGCTGCTCAGCCTCCTTCCAGCAGCCAGGAGATGAAAGGCAAGGTGATGATAAAATCCTTGTTTCTTCCCCTGAAGCACCTTTATCCTTTATCCTTCCCCTATAACCCGGCACCCAACCCAGCTTCCTCTCGAGAAGGCAAGAGCAGTTGTGGCATTCACATTCTCTGATAAATCCCTTCACCCACGATTTTTTTCCTGGGAGCTGAGAAGCCTCAGAGAAAAGGAAAATCATTCTTATCTCATTTGCTTCTCCTGTGTTGTGCTCATGTGGAATGTGTTTGGAGATTGTTTACCTACAGGTGATTGTTCCATTGGGTTCTGCTGTGAGTTGTTTTGGCTCTTTGGCCAATCAGGGCCAAGCTGTGTCAGACTCTGGAAAGAGTCAGGAGTTTTCATTATTGTCTTTTTAGCATTCTGTAAGTGTCCTTTCTGTATTCTTTAGTATAGTATAGTATTCTTTAATATAATATAGTTAATAAAGTAATAAATTAGCCTTCTGAGAGCATGGAGTCAGATGCATCATTCCTGCCCTTGTTGGGGCATTTCCCAGCAAATACAATAAGCAGTGACCTTGGGCTTCAGAGGAGCTCTGCAAGGATGAACACACCACCACTACAACAACTACCTCCAGTGGTGCTATTTAAAGCTTGGATTATGAATCAGAGGCAGCATCGTTGCAAGTGAACTAATAATAATAATGACAGTATTTTGATTACACTATTCAAATAAATTCCAGGCTCTATGTGAGAGGTGTCCCTATCACAACACTTACCCACTCCAGTGCTTCAAGTACAAGACAAAACAAATACATCAAATTTGTAGCAAAGCTTGAACACTCTACAAAGATGCCAAAAAGCACCTAAGAGAGATAATCTGGCTTTAGGTGGACTTAACATGTCTCCATTTATTTTAACGCTTCTCTGGCCTTGTCTTGCTTTGCTATTCAAAAGCCCCTTCACAGGTTCATCACTTTTGGAAGACATTCATGGCTGCACAAGCTAAATCAAGAGATGAAAAGGAGGAGCTTGGACCTGAATCATAGAGGATTTAATACTGATTGCCCAGTACTTGCAGGAGAGCAAAATGAAAAGATTATTTTGAGAAGGAAATGTCCCCACCTAAGAGACACTGAACTTGAATAAAAATATTCATGTGCTCCAAGACAGGTTCCCAGAAGGAGTTAAAGCATTCAGGGCATCACAGAGGATGCTGAGCAGGCTTCAGCAGCTACACAGGAGAGCTAAGGGACTCACACAGCTTCTGCCCTAAGAAGCCTCAGTCTCATGAAGCTTTGGGTCTTTTTCTGGAGGGGATCCCTTATAGGAGAGGGGGAAGCTACCAGGAAAAATACCTGGGGTCAGCCCTGCCCACAGCAAAGGTGTCAGCTCCAGTGCAGCCACTGAACTGCTGGGCTCAGCACTTCTCTCCTCCAAAGTCCAAGGAGGCCATCTCGTGGTGCTGCTGGATGCTGCTCCCAGACCAGGGCTGCGATTCAGGAAGCCTTTCTGGGGTCTGGGCTCCCAGAACAGTAAATGCAGCGACTGAGATGCTCGTGGATGTTACAGGGTCTGAGCAGCACAGCAGAAATGAAGAGCTCAAAAGCTGGACTTAAAGAGGGTGTGATTTTATAATGTGGTGGCATTCGCAGGGGTCCCAGGATGAGGGAAGAGACGAGGATCTGACTCCATGTTTCAGGAGGCTTGATTTATTATTTTATTATATATATTACATTAAAACTATACTACAAGAATAGAAGAAAGGATTTCATCAGAAGGTTAGCTAAGAATAGAAAAAGAATGATAACAAAGGCTTGTGACTGACCGAGGCAGTTTGGACAGCTGGACTGTGATTGGCCATTAATGAGAAACAACCACATGAGACCAATCACAGATCCACCTGTTGCATTCCACAGCAGCAGATAACCATTGTTTATATTTTGTTTCTGAGGCCTCTCAGCTTCTCAGGAGAAAAAATCCTAAGGAAAGGATTTTTCATAAAACATGTCTGTGACATTATAGAATCCCAGAGTGGTTTGGGCTGGAAGGGAGCTTAAAGATAATTTAGTTCCCTCCCTGCCATGAGCACCTTCCACTATCCCAGGTTGCTCCAAGCCCCATCCTACCTGTCCTGGGCACTGCCAGGGATCCAGGGGCAGCCACAGCCTCTCTGGCCACCCTGTGCCAGGGCCTGCCCACCCTCACAGTCAGGAATTTCTTCCCAATATCGCATCCAACCCTGCCCTCTGGCAGTGGGAGCCATTCCCTGTGTCCTCTCCCTCCATCCCTTTTCCCCAGTCCCTCTCCAGCTCTCCTGGAGCCCCTTTAGACCCTGGATGGGGCTCTGAGGTGTCCCTGGAGCCTTCTCCTCTCCATGTGAGCACCCCCAGCTCTCCCAGCCATCCTCAAACCTCTTTATGGGTTTGTTCACATCTCATTTCTGCTCAGAACTTTTTAGGACTCATGTGTCCTAAAAAACACAATGCAGAGTCTAAAACTTCCCATCCCTCACTGATAACTGACAGCAATTCTCAGGTCACCCTGAGTTTGAAGTCCTCCCTGCTGTGCATCCACCAAAAATACTTGGCAATCTGCAGGAGCAGCAGGTGCCTTGCTGTGTGGGGAATAAGAACAGGGAATTAAGGTGTGATTCCAGCCAACATTCTAATGGGATGGACAAGGAGACCTATGTGCAGTGTTTGAACAAAGAATGCTCTGAAATATGCACAGTGGCCTTGAGAGTCCACATGAAACAACTGAGGGCCCATGAACTGATTCTCAAAGCTGGAAGTGGGGAAGACACAATCTAAGGAAAGAACATTTAACCTTTGAGAAGTCTGAAATATTGCAACAGAGCAAAGCACTTTTTGTTCCACTACAGTCACACAGCAGCTTACAACAAAGCAGTACAAAGCTAAAACATGCACATCAAAAAATATGTGAAGTACGTGGATCTGTTTAAGCCTGATTTGAAATTTTCAGTCTCCTTTCCCACTCAAGTGCCTCTTATTTCTGCTACTTTGCATAAAACAAACCAAATTCATTTACATAGCAGGCTATGATTTTCCTCATTTATTTTGATTGTCCCAAGCAACCTGCACTGGTGTTAAATATCAGCCATTTAGAGGAGGCAGATGAGCTCAGCCACATGTGACTCCTCACAAGCATCAGTATAAATTACCAGGAACAGCAACAGCAGCTATTTTCTTCTTCCCACATCTCTGCTGTCCATGCTCAGAGCAAAGGCACAAGGAAAAAAACCCAATAAATGGAATAAAATTTTGAAGTTCCACAGACATCTTACATCCCTCCAGAACTCTCCATCCTGGGAAGTAATCAATATGCAATTGTTTATAAGCCTGAGCAGCCTGGTCTATGTGGATATAAAATAATTCAGGGATTATTTTATATCCATTCACTCTCATTCACCCATTCTCCTGCCATGCCTGGAAAGAGAAAATTTCTTTTCACTCCCATGACCAGCCTAACCAACAAGTAACACAGAAGGAATTATGCTTTGTTACCTATTTTCAGGGCTTGAAAAACAAGCTTGTGTCCTTTGTAGCTTCTCCCCTGCCATCAGAATAAAACCCATTTCACCTTCCTTGCTTTTGAGGAGCTTCCACTGGTACTCCACAGGGCCCTCATGAATAGCCTTGATATTTCCACTTACCTTTCCTCTTTTTCCCAAGTTTTCAAACTGAATGTCCCCGAAGGCATCAGTAGGAAGCTCCTTGGTGTGCTTCTTGTAGTTCCATTTCTCAGTAGTGTTAACCTGGGTGCCCTCTATGTGCTGATTTTCAGGGTATCCACATTTACATAAGTTACCCCTGAAAGAAGAGGGAATAGACATCCCTGAGGAACCCTGTGCACAGAAAAGTGAGCTCTGCCAGCAAGGAAAGCAGCAGGTGTAGCTACACAACCAGTTGTGTGTGGAACTATACTGGGATTTAGCACCTGACAAAGCAGAGCAGCACCTGACCCTGCTTCCTCCCCCCAAACCTGCTTCTGCCCAGCACTGGGAGGTGGAACCCAGCTCAGGAACCAGGCTGTGCTGAGGAGTTTCTTCCCCTCTTTGTGCCCTTAACCACACAGGACAAATTCACCGCATCTCCTCTTCCAGGTGACAAGTGACAGGACAAGAGGAAAAAGCCTCAAGTTGTGCCAGGGGAGGTTCAGATTGGATATCAGGGGGAAAAAAAATTGCATGGAAAGGGGTGTCAGGCATTGGTACAGGCTGCCCATGGTTGTGGTGTAGCCACCATCCCTAGAAGTATTCCAAAATCACATGGACGTGGCACTCGAAGGCATGCTTTAGTGGTGGTTCTGGGCTGACTTGATTTTGAAGGTTCTCTCCACAGCTCACATTCCTGCCTCCACACAGGACATGGAGAAAGGGGAACTGCTTGTCTCCTTTAGAAAAGTTCCTTTTACTCTGCTGTACCTTGCAAAGAAACCAGCTTACCTTAAAAATATCTAGACAAAAATAACCCAGCAAGTCCTGTAATCCTCTCCCAGAGGGCTTGCAGGAAGAGAAGCTGATGAGAACCAGCTCCTCCATCCGTTGTTGGTGCCTTGCCAGACATCCCATTTTTGGTGGCAGAGGAGGACCCTGAGTGAGGCTTTCTGAAATGAGACTAATTTCCCTCCCAGCTTCAGAGAAGAGTGGTGTCAGAGAGCCCTCAGAGCTCAATATCAGGATTTCTGCAGCTGTATTAGTTTGATCACGTTTCTCCTGAGACAAAAAAAACCACCCCAAAACCACAAAGCAACATCATGGTCCTCAAAGCAGCACTGCACTGGTACCTGTGCCTGAAAATGGAGCCAGTTTAATACCCTATCTAAAGAGAACATCAACCTGAGCAAAACTTCGTGGTTTGTGCACAAAATTTGTGATTTGGGTTTAAAAGGAAAATTTAAATTATGCAAACCTCTGATGCATACACCTTGTAATACACCAATATCAGTGCTGCACCCTTCAAGCATCCCATTGCCCCAGGTATGCTTCAAATAGGGAATTTGATATTAAACCCTGTGACAGAGCTGCTGGAAGATGAGATCCCTAGTTTTGTATCAAGTTACTTGTGGAGTAACTCTAACAAGGAGACTGAGGTGAGATTGCACTGCTAGATCCAGGCTCTGAACAAAAAACCCCAAAACTTTTCTCCCTGCCTTTGCAGACAGAAATCCCCTCATGTACCAGCCCCCCATTCTTGAAAAACAAGAGAAAAATATCTCCTTACATGGACTTGGTGTCTTTTGTGAAAAAGACACATACTCTCTTCTTAAAGTTTTCTTGGATGAAGTTGGCCAAATCCTGGAAGATAAATTTTATAAAATTATTTCTGATAACTCACAAAACAGAAGAGACCTCAGTAACAGAACAGTCAGTGTAAACACAAAGATACTGCTTAAAACACTATGGCAAACATTCTTCCCAATGGTAAAAAGAAAAAATAAAGATAAAAAAGAGAACACTGGAATGTTCTTTGGGGTAGGGGCTGTTTTAATTCAACACACAGACCCCAGCAGGAGTCCAGAACAACTTCAAGTCCTCCTTTATGGGAGCTCAGTGGAATGTGAAGTCTGTCTAGCTTGTTTAACCATTAACTCTGCTATTAACCTTGAAACTCCCCAGAGAAGCTTTCACACTCGGGGGATGCAAATTCATCCCTCATCTGCCTCTGCCAGCTAAGAAAGCAAAGGGAAATTCTCACGTGCTGATGAAGTGTTGGGGGTTTTTTGTTTGCTTTTAAGTACAGCTTAGATTCACAGAGCAAGATTTCACCTGGGACACCAAGGGAAGACAGGCAGCCATAGTTCAGCTGTTTGACACAGCACTTGTGGTTAAACAGCAGGTAGAAGAAGTTATTCCAAGCAGAAAAAAACATTACAAGCATTATATCCAAAACAAGGAAAATTGAAGGGAACGCGTTCAACCAGTAAAAGTCACAACCGTGCAAGGCCAAAAAAATAAAAGGAAGCACTTGCTGAAGTCCTAAGAATCGGCCATTAGGGCGTTCTGCAACCTCATCAGGAGCAGGGAATCTGCCACACAATTGCTGGAGTCAGCAATCTTTCAGGCATGAAAGGATGTTTAACAGAACCATATGTTGGCTGCCTTGGCCATCAAGCTGGGCTGGTTCTTTACACAGACAAATTTGTCTCTTGCTGCAATGTGGGACACGGTTTAAAACCAGAAGTGATGGAGAAAGCACAATGAAGAGCTACAAGGCTCAAAAGGAAGGCAATACACCCTTAGAGTTTCAAGTGTCAGCTGCTGCTTGAAGGTTACTGGTTTGCAAAGTGTCTCCACAAAGGGGAAAGTGACAAATCCATCCCATCCTGCTCCTGACCCGAGCGAATTCACCACCGTGGCCCCTCCCTAGGCACCAGCGTGCACCAGGTACTCACAGCATCGCTGCAAGCCACGTCTATGCTGCGAGACATGCTGGAATAGAGGAGCCTGGAGCTCTCAAAATTGCCATTCCTTCGGTGTCTCATGCTGCCCATGGAAGCCTGGAAAAGCAGGGTAGAGGGGGAGATGGAGGAGAACCAGACAACAGCAAGGGCACTTTGCGCCCTAGCAAGGCAAGGAAGAGGTTGTTTGAATCCAGCAAAAAGAATTAGGAAGGAGATTATTCCTAAAGTGTGAAACAAAAATTCAGAAAAAAATTTATATTATTTCATACCACAAAGAGACTTTCTTTTATCTTTCCCCTCCCCAAAGTCAACATCCTTTGAGAAAGGAACATACTTTAAGTGCCATGCCATTAAATCCATTCCCATATTTTAACTCTTTTGTCTTTGATAAGAAAGCTCAGGCTTGTATATATGAACAGTCCTTTATTTGCAAATTAAAGGGGATATTAGGAAGAAACACTTCAGGCACAGAGGAAAAAGTGCACTGTTAACGCAGTTGGCCCAGCAGGACCCCAGGAGCTTGGAGGAGCAGCACCCACCACTGATCCCACTCCTGGAACAAGGACAGTCAATGTGCAAACCAAAGAGCAAGTGGATTTAAAGGATATTGGATCCAAAATTTAGGAAGTGAGCTGTAGAAGCAAACACATTTCAATTGCCCTCCAAAGCAGATCTCTGTGTTGAAGTCACTGTCTTTGAAGGAGCATCACTGCACTTAAAGCAAAGCAGGGAACAAAATAATATTTATTCTAATACAAATATTTCAATTCCCTTTGTGCTACTCTATGAATAATATTGGAAAAGGTCTTTTCCTGAAAGAAAAGCTGTCAGCTAGTGAACATGGGGAACTCAGAGCCTACTTGTGCTTCCATCACTGTTTTCTCTCCTGTCTGTGTGCTCTGGGTTTGCCCCTGGGGTAACGCTGCCAACTGCATGGCACACAAAGCACCCCTCCCAGGAACAGCATCACTGAAGCATCACCCTGTAAATACAGATCTCCTGAGAGCCAAGAACCAGCAAGTGTGAACATTTCCTTGGGGCACTCAACACAGGAGCAATGGCACAGGCAGTGGGAAGCTACAGCTTCAGTAAACAGAATTGATGGGATGTGATGTGAGCAAGCCCCCAAAGCAGTAAGAAACAGCAGCTTTCCACAAAGACACAAATATTCATGTGTTATGATTATTTAAAAAATCCTTTGAAAAACATTTTATGCTGAGGGGGAGCATGACTGACTCAGTGTTGTTCACTGTACATGGCAGAAGCCCTCAGCTGCTTCCCCCAAATTCTGCAGCATGGCCAGGGATCTGTGCCACACTATCACTGATAAGTGATGGAAGAGCACAGGAAAAAAGCCCTCCTCCTCCTTCCCAGCTCCTGCACAGAACAGAACAGGAATGATTTCAACCCAAGAAAAGGAAAAAAAGGCTGGAAAGTGAATGGCTGGAAGGCTGGGCCCAGAAAGGAGGGAACAGAATTAAATCCAGCTCGTGGCCAGTCACCAGTGGGGTTCCCCAGGGCTCAGTACTGGGCCCAGCTCTGTTAAGTACTTTTATCTTTACCAGGGATGTGGCTGAGGGGATGGAGGGCACCCTCAGGAAGCTGCAGACACAGAATTGGTGGGATGTGGATCTGCTGGGGGGCAGGAGGCTGTGCAGAGGGATCCATGGGCCCAGGGTCAGCAAGGCCAAGGGCCAGCTCCTTGTGAGCCTGTGTGGCCACAGTGCCGACAGCGACAGTGGCAGGGAGCTGTGCCACTGGGGGCGTGACAGTCTCTGTGTTGACAGGCATGGCCAGGTTTCCATGATGAAGAGGCAGCAGGAAGAGCTCCAGGATCGCAGTCAGGGTGAGTGAGGGCAGTGGCCTGGCCAGGCAAGCTGCAATGCCTGAGCAGGGAGCTGCAATCCCTGTCCCGGCTGCAGTGGGCTTCACACCCTGTGTTGATGAGGGGTGGTGTGGGCAGAGCACACAGAGATTTCAGGGACATGGGCGGAATTCCTGGCCCACAACTTGCTGCTGATCCTGTTGGCAACACCTCTCTCTTGGCCATGGCAAGAGTTGCGTGGGGTGGCCCTGGCAGGATGGTCTCCTCAGGTCACTGCAGATCCAGGCTCTAACCATGGCTCTCTTGCTCTCTGTTCCAGGCCTTGAATCCCCAAAGAACAATGCCAGCCCATCCTGCTCTAACATTGAAAGTCATGCTAAATTAGCCCTAAGACCTGAAGAAATAGGGTCCTTTTCTGGATCCGGTGAACCAGTGTCCCAAGAATAGCACCAGGAGGCACTGAAGAGGACATCATCTCCCATTGCCACTGCAGCTCTAGGCACAGTTGATGACTGGCACAGCTGAGCCTTTGGGAAGTTTGCATGGCTTCAGCCCTCTCCCTGCCTGTAGATAGCTCCCTCCCTCCAGCCCTCAGACTCTGCCCATCCACTTTTTTCTTGACATTCTCCCTCCCTTTTGACAGCTCCATCTCACCAGCACTCTGACTATGCTCCTTCCTGTGTTTTCCTTCCACTCTTCCTTTTGACAGCTCCATATCTTAAGCCCTCAGACCCTACCTGTTGGAGAAGATGAAACAGGAAAGCCTTATAAATATGATTGACTAGCAAAACATTTTGTGAATATAGAAACTATAAGCAAGATTGAAATGAATGCAAACTTTAAGATCCCTTAGTTACTAAACAATGAGAAAACAATAGTGTAGCCCCTGAAAGTAATCCCTTTTTGATGAAACAATAGCCTCTACTTGCAGACAAATCCAAGGGTCAGAGCAGACCCTACTAGCTTAGCTGAAGGAGTCCAAAGAGTACCTTTTAAAGTTTAAAATGTAAAACAGTATAGTAATGTAGTAATTCTTACAAGCTCTATGTAAATGCTTTAAGATTTGTATATTGTACTTGATTAGTTAGTGAGAATTAGAATATTCAACACAGGAGAAGATTTATTGTCTTGTAACAAGAACCTCGCTCTCTTGCCCTTTTGCTCTCTTGCCCTTTTACACTCTTTCTCTCTCATTCTCTCTACCCCTCTCTTTTCTGGGGCCTGCTCCAAGCTGCAGCTGGCAGCTCCCAGCAGAGCTCTACACTCACGCCCTTTGCAGTAAACCACTAGTTCCACGACCTAGCTTCAAAAATCTCTGTCCGTCCCAACCGTCCTGCCCCCAACACTCCTACACCTACCCATTCCCTTTTTCCCTCCCATATCACCCCTTTGCTTTGCATTTCATTAATAAACAGTTTGGCTTCTTCACTTTGCCTGCATCTCTGTGGAGCTGCAGCAGTGCAAATCCGGGGCCCTGGGACACACAGGCCCCTGCTGCTGTTCTCTCCCACACCCTGTTTTGTGCACAGACCCAGAGGAACGAGGGCAGGTCAGACTGGAAAGGTCCCTGTGCTGACGGTGCAGTTCCACAGCACCATGCAGTTCCAGATCTTGCTGAGCACACTGAAGGCCTGCAGTGGGACAAGGAGCCTGTGTATGTCAGGGACCAAAGTCCTCTCTAAGCCCCTGCCATATTTGGTCCCCTCTTGTGCACGTCAACAAGATAATGAAGAGCAGAGAATGAAGGAAACCTTATGGTTTAACTGGTGGGAATTTGACCCTTAAGAGAAACAGTAGACTGGTCAATCAATGGGAAGTGAACCTGTGAGAGAGGAACGATACACAATGGAGCTGTGGTTGGCATGGAGGGGGTATCACAGGCCACTGCAGCCTCATCTCACACACTGGCCAAGCATGAGACGACGTTGTAACTGGAAAAACTCCACGGCAGAGGAGGAGATGTCAGGCCTGGTTCTGGGGTGGAGGAATGAAAAGGACGAAATGCCCGTCCTTTTGATGCAGGGGATGCCCTGAATGTGGGTGGCCTGCCTGCCCCTCCCACTGGAGCACCATGCTGAGATCCCGAGAGCAGCCCAGTGCTCCTTGCTCCTCTCTGCTGACACGTGAGCGTTTGTCTGCTTTCGGGATGGCCCTGGATGTGTCAGGGCTGCTCCGTGGACACAAGACAGCCGGTCCTGTCCCGCTGGGTCCCAGCAGTGCCTCGCAGCAGCCCTGCACCCACGTCAGGATGCTGGCCAAGAGAGGCCCTGGAAGCTGAGGCAGCTGATTTTAAGCTTTTTCAGATACACACAGGTCAAGGCCAACTGTGTTCCCTCAGGATACAGCAGTCCTGAGGGGTCTCCCTAATTCAAAGAAATCCTCAGACAAATGCATTGTCCGCCAAAAGCCCTTGTATTGAGCTGATGGGAGGGCAGGGGTCAGCACACCACTAAAATGCATCTCTGCCACGTGTAAATTTCAGTGGATTGATGTAGGAATTGTATCAAAAATAACATCCATCTTTACCCTGCTGAGGCAGGTGGCTAGAATTACATTGTGTCAGATTCCTGTACTTGAAGCTAATGTCCAGACACTGGCCAGGAGAGGTCTTGATACCCTAAAGCAGCACTTCTTCCTCATGGCTTCCCTGCACAGGGCTGATTCCGTGCTTGCCCTTAGTTGTTCTGGTAGAATGTGTCTAAAGCTTTTTGTCAAGTCACTCTCCTGTCAAGTTAGGCCACCCAGGTTTTTCTTGTGCTAACTGGTGCGAAGTGCTTACGAAGGTCTGTGCTAAGTACTTGTTTACTAATGTGAATTGCTTGTGCTAATGTCAAACAAAGGCCTTTTTTCATTGCCAAAGGTGCCTAAAGCTGCCCACTCCTTGTGGCACCAGTTGCTTTCCTGTGGGATGTTCTACCTCCCTCAAGAGTGAAGAGGGAGCTGGAGAAAGAGCTTGCCAGGCTGCTCTGGATCCTTTACCAGCAGCCCTGGCTGAGTGGAGAAGTCCGAGCTGAGCGCAGATGAGCCAATGGAACAGCCGTGCACAGGAAGGCTCGCTGGGAAGGATGATCCAGGAACCACAGGCCTGGCAGCCTGGCTTTGCTGCCAGGGAAGGCCTTGGAGCAGATCCTCCTGAGTGCCATCCCACGGCACGTGCAGGGAACCAGGGGCTCTGCTGGAGGCTGGGAAAGCTCTGCGGAGGGACGGTCACAGCTGGGGCTCCTGGCGGGGTGTTGAGGGCTTCTTTGGGGGTGTTTGGGGGGTGGGTGTTGGGGTA